AATTCAACATAACATCGAGCATAAAATACATTTCGTATCCAATGTTTAGGTAAATCAAGACTATGAAGCTAAAATATAAGAATATGAAAATAAAATAAATAAAAGTTTTTTTTTTCTAACCTTTTGTTCACTATCAATAAGTGTAACAAGATCTTCCCATGCTGACCAAAGATGAGGTACTGCTTTAACTGTACGTACAAAGTAAGGTAATGCTTCATTCAATAAACCTAATCGTTTGAGTACAAGAGCATAACTACACAGAACAATAAACTTCTAAAATATACAAATAAAATAAAACTTACACATAACAACTATAACCATTTAATGGTTGATTTTTTTCACTAGTTGTTAATTCTGTACGAAGACGTATTAGCCAGGCATTATCAAGTGATGCTTTAGCTTTATTATAGAAATATACAAAAGATGAGAATTATAAGTAATTTTTAAAAGAAACAAACTTGTTGCTTGTCGTTGATTACTAGCTGTATCAGCTAAAAAAATAAAATGACAAAAATGTTCAAATTCAAATAAACGAAGAACAAAGATTCTACTTACGAAATACATCAACAAAATCATCACAACGATGTTTAAGACCATCCTAACAAAAACACAATAAACATATAAAGAAAAATTGTATAAATTATATATACAAGATATAATGCATAGAGTCGAAGAAAGAAACCGTAACCATTTGTACAATTTCTTAAATGATGTGCACAACGAGTATATTCACGAAGATCAAAATAACTTTTTGCCATTAAATATAAACTTGATGATGTACCTAATTCCTTAAAACAAAAAAAAATTGAAATTCTTCTGTGAATATATTATTTGACTTACTCTTGCAGTTACATTCAAATTAATTCCATCTTCTATCTCATCTTCATTATTTTCATTGTCATTAGTTACAGATCCTAATGTAATACATTGAAGCATTTCACAACACCTAAGGAAAATATATTTCATATAGAATCATTTTTTGAAATAAAAAGTTACCATTTTCTACTATGTACAAGTCCAACGAGATCTAATTCCGGTATTGCTTTTTGTAAATCAATTACAACTGTTTTTGGATCAAATGGAAGATAATTAACATCACGTTGTTCATCGAATGACATTGATAATTGATTCATTATTGTTTTTTTATCTCAAAAAATGTTGTTTTATTTTATTAAAGATAAACAAAATAATGAATAATTCTTGGTTCAAAAGTTTTATTGAAAGTATAAATATTACATCATCATCATCAACAACAAAAAAAGAAAGAAAGAAAACAATAATAACTACTGTTGCCTGAGTCGACTAGAAAGAACTCGAGTTAACACAATGCTTATATTATAAATGGATTTATTGTATTAAATCCTTCTTTTTTATTCGATGGTATTGGTGATAATAAAATTGGATTTAATAAATTTTTGATTGTATCACGTCGTTCACGTTCAGCTATTTGTGGCTGTTTTTTATTATTACTATTTGTTAATAAACGTGTTTTATATGTATTTAATAATTCAATATTTAATTGTGGAATTGTTTGATGAAAGACTAAATCAAGTTGTTCAACATATTGAGTATGCCATAATTCATATATATGACCAATTAATGATATAAGATTTGTATTAACACCTTCATTTTCATTATGTCTTTCGAGTGCTTTCAGTAAACATTGAAATAAAAATTTTACATCAATAATTGATGATGGATTCGTTTGTTTTTCAATAATATCTGTATAGAGTCTTGTTAGCGGAAGAATAATTGGTAGAAAACGATTGATACAATATGCATCGGGAAATGTTAAACATTCAAATAATATTTTAATAATACAACTGAAAAAACGTAAAGCCAATGGAGAATCTAAATTATACACAAACATTTTGTTTTTTCTACAACAAGAAATATTTAACTCACTTTGTCGAGATGTTTTAATCATATACATAAATAGATCGCTATAATCCATTTTATCTTGCGAATTGTTCATTAATTTATTACTAATACTATTATTCGCAACTTGTTCATCCCATTCATCAATTTGATCTAAATCACCATTATTTATTTCTTCACACATACTTTCACTATTATTTCGTCCATTATTAATTTTCGTCTTTTTCTTATTTGTATTATTTGCATTCGAAATTGTTTGTCCTGGTGGTAATGTTTTAAATATAAAATATCGAATAATATCAATAAAATCACGTGTAATTAAAACACAAACACATTCTTCAATAACTTCATCGGAACATTCACCTTGTTGATAATTATTTGTTGTTGCTAATAAATTATTCCACATAGTTGTTAAACGTTGTTGAATAAAAGGTAGAAAAACATCAAGAAATGTAAGAAATAATTCATTTATCACTTCTTTATCCATATCTATCGATGAATAATAATTCTCAACAAATACACGACAAAAATGTCGTAAAACAATACGAAGACGAAATGATGGAAGTGTATTTAAATTTTCAAATAAAATTTTTTGTAAAAATGTTGTTAAAAAATAACTATCATCATTTATTTTTATGTAATATAAATCAGTATCATGCGCAAAATATATGCCATTTATTTGATAACATATATCAAATAGACGGTGAAGATAATCACGAAGACGTTGATCATCTACTACAGTATTTGATGTTGATTGAAAACGAATAATACTCACAGGAAGACTGGACGGTGTAATACTAAACAGAAAAGAAAACGATCAATATGATATGTTTTGCGTAATCTTAAGGGTGTGGGTGGTGGTACGAGTCTTTGATTACGACATGCACACCCACGAGTACATTCACACCTACCCACGCCCACCCTCATTTATATTATTTTATAAGTATTACTACTTCAAAATAAAATCGTGCTTACGTTGATGTAATTGTTGCTTTTGCCATATTATTACTTTCATATGTACCTAAATACAATTGTCTTTCTGTTTCACTATATGTTAAATTTGTTTTTAATATATCATAGAAAGGATTTATTTGTCTATCATATAATTGATTACAAAATTGTGTTACTTTTATAATATAATCAGATAAAATTGGTCGAAGACAAATAGAAATTTTTGAACGTAAATTCGTATCTGATTGTTGTTTTGAATAACGTAATATTAAACATAGACAATGTAATGCAAGCATTAAATTTCTTCGTCGATAACGTATTAAATTCATTTGATTGATTCGATTTGAACATAAATCAAGATATTCAATAAATTCCGGTAATGTTTCAGCTGTTAATGATATATTTAATACTTCATAAATAGGTTTAATAAGTTCATAAAAATCTTCAAATTGATTATTATCTTTTAATAATTTCTGATGAAATAACATTTGTATAGCATCAAGTAATTTTAATGTTGGACATGATAATTCATCAATTGTTATTGATAAAGAAGTTTTTGTTAATTGAAATTCATTTTTATATAATTGACAAAGAAATGGATATAATTCTGTATAATAATCAACCATTTTTATTGGAAAATTCTTACATAAATAAAGAAATGCATTTGATGATTGTGTTTGCATTGTTTCACATTCATTTAAATTTATTCCATTAATTGATTGTTGTTGATATAATTGAAATGTTGTTAGAAGACGTTGAATAATTTGTATCGCTAATGTTTGATCATGTTGTGTAATAAAAAACATACATGATAATAAATTTAGAACATGTCCATGAATATGTTCACTTAAATCTGGTGTAAATTGTAAGAGAAATTTTAATGTACGTAAAAATTGTTCTGTCAAAGTTGATGTCATTAATAATGATTGAAATTTTTCAGCTGATTTTATTGTTAATGTTGATGATGAAAATAATTCTTTACGAATAATAAATAAAACATGATCAAGTAATAAATAAAATGCTTCCCATTCTATGATTAAATATATCGATGATAATGAATTCTGAGTTTTATTTGGTGTACGTTGAACAAGTGATTCAAGATAGATGAAAAGATTTTCAAGCATAGATTTTAAACACGACATATTTCTTTCAATGTCTGAAATTGTTTCAGTAAAGAATAGACCAATAAATGATTTAATTAATTTCTGTAATTCACTTCGATATTGTGAGAAAAATTTCCAATAAAATTGCTCTTCACTATCGTATTCAAACAGAGCATAGATAAAACATTGTTGATTATGTATGAATTGTTTTTTTAATATTTCATTCTCATTATCATCGGGTGTTGTTGTTGTTACTGATGATGATGGAAAATAAATACGATGTAATGATTGTTTTAAATTAAATATTAATTTTAAACAAAATTGTTCATTTGATAATAGTGTTGGCTGTCGAATTATAAATAAATTTAATGCTTGATAAGAATTTAATGATAATAAATGAAATGGATGTTGATTTAATAAGAGAAGAAATTGTAAAAATGAACGTGTACGTTCATTAACAAATGTTAAAAATTCATTATCATCAATAGATTTTGTTGCTAATTGTTGAAATAATTGTAATAAATTATTTGATAATTTTACAAGAAGTTGTCCAAGCATTTTTAAACAATTTATATGATCATTTGTTACTATAGCACGTAATTGTTCAATTGAATCTGTTGGACTAATTAGAAGTCGATAGAATATTTCTAATGTATTATCACCAACTAAATAATTAAGAAATAATTTTTCTTGTTGACAATTTAATGCTGCAGATGGTAATGATGCAATACGTTTATTTTTTTGTTGCTGTTGTTGTTGTAATAGTTTTCTTGCTAAACGTTTATTAACAAGACTAAGTAAACATTCAAATGAAGCATGACGTAATTTAACAGAATTTAATTGAAAGAATTTCAAAAATAATTCACAAAGAAATAATTCATATTGTTCAAAATGATTATATTCAACCCATGTAAGAAAACTATTGACAGTTAAAAGACATGTTTGAGTTAAACGTTCATGTTGTTCAGGAACAGTTAAAAGATCATTGGATATACGTATTAAACATGGTAATATATCATTTAAACGTTTCTGTAATTGATTAAGAATTTGTCGACGACGTTGTGCTTGAATATTTTGAGCATAAAGTGT